TTGTCTCTCGCTCTGTGATCATTGGACTAGTGTGCGGCTGCCTTGCTTGTTCTGTGCCTCAATTTAAAGGCTACACTGCCTGTGGGACGCCTAGCCTGTGGACCGTGTTGCTGTAAGTTGAGGTCCCTTTAAGACTTCTCTGGAGCTGGGGACTGGCAGTTGGTGACCTGCCTTGTGATTGGCTGCTGTGCTGACATAGCCTAGCTCTCTCTACAAATAGAGGAAGATCTGGCATCAGACAGAGACTTGAAGGACTGCTAGTCTCTCAACTTTCTCTCGTGAGTTGCACTAAGCCATTTATAGTGCTTTCTAATTTAACTGTTTATTTCTTGTATTGTATATTTATCTGTATATGATTTAACAGTTCATTTCTCGTTATATATCTAATTATCTTTATAAATAAATATATTATATTATCAGGAATTTGGTTTTATCTCTCTAGAGAACCCTGTCTAACACAACACCAAAAATGATTTGGTTCGAATTCACAATGAACCTTTGGGGGTTACAAGGCTGTAAATCTTTATAAAAGCAGAAAACCTCATCTTTCTCCTGCGGACCGGCTGGTGTGTTTGAACTGCTGACTTGTAAGTTAACAGCCCGATGTGTGACCCACAATGCCACCAGGGCTCCTGACATTATGAAATAACACTTGAATGCTTATTATTTTCTATGCTATTCTGTGCCTGGAAAGAAGCAGAGAACAGAATGGCACACTCCCTGGAAACATGATCTAAGCTTTCCTTCTCTGTTTAATGTCTCTGGGGGTAAAAGCCCAGCTTTGAGGGGTTCATGCCACTGGATCCTCTGATGCCAGAGTGACAAGAGTGACACATGGCGTGTTAGAAAAGGGCAAATGGAGATACAGAGAGGCCAGCTGCTGCTTGCTGCTGCTCCTTTCCCATCTTTAACCCCACATAAAAAGCCAATTTCCCAGCTCCTTCTTGGGTGTGAGCTGGCCCGGATTGCCTATGCGTCAAACTGAACATTTGTCCATGATGTTGGCAAAGCAAAGTCACCAAGGACATATGAAAGGAAATCAGAAAGCCTGGAATGAAGCCATTTTTCATTTCAGCATATTTGCATATTTTCCATTGTTTTAGAAAAGTACTAGCCGTGTTAGCAGGGAAATGGTGGCAGCACCATAATGCTTTTACAATGCCTTAAAAAGTCCTTCAGCTTGCTCTGCATAAGGCTAAAGCAAGCACCTGTTTGAGGCATAAGCCCATTATTTCCTGGGGAGTGAGTGGACACAGAGGGCAAAGCCTTTTATTTGAAAATCAGCATTTTGAGACTTTGAGTCTTCATGATGTATTTATTCCAAACACTTTTCAACAACATAAATGTCGACTTTGCACATGCATCTCATCAGATGGAATACATAGTAATCGATAGACTACATCTGTGGAAAGAGACAATGGGGAAGCTCAATTTCATCAGTCAGAACAAGGCGAGGGGCTCACTAAGGAACAGACCACCAATTGTGCATCTATGTTTCTCCAGTCATTGAACTAGTAACTTGATGGTACAGATAGGAACTGGAAACGCAGGGAATCCAGGGCGGATGATCCCTTCAGGACCAGTGGTGAGTGGCAATACTGGGAGGGTAGAGGGAGGGTGGGTTGGAAAGGGGGAACTAATTATAAGGATCTATATGTGGGTGAAGGGAGATGCTGGACAGGACAAGATATGACAAAATAATAATTTATAAA